TTATTTCTTTGAAAATAGTCTATCATTTAGATTGTACCTGAATGAAAGTCTTATTTTCCTCCAAGAGTACAGTCTTATTTTAGGTGTGTGCTCCACTTGGAAAACACATTCACCTTCTAGTCTGCCTTCTAGAGTAAACATCAGCTCATGGGGGTGGTTAAATGATTCAGTATGAACTGAAAATCCACCCCCTTTCCTTTCTCATCAACTCTCTTTTACTTCTCATCTACAGGCACTAATCTGACTGCAACAAGGCAGACTTGTCCAATGACCCCTTTAGTCTATGTCTGGGGGAACTTAACCCAGTGAATCCATGTTTTCTAGGAGATATGAAGTGTGTCAGTTGAGATAAAACACACAAGCCAAGGCAAGACCCGGGGGTGAAGGTGAGCTAAGAAGCATGAGAAGTAGAGATTCTTTCCTATGGAGGAAGAGAAAGGGCTCCCCAGGTCAGTGACATTGGAGTTGCCTAGTAATTCAAGAAAGGGGCTTTTCTAACTGCCTCAGAGAAATAATGATGTCTCTCAAGGGAAAAGAATCTCCTAGGTAGCAGAAGAGACTGAAGCTAGGGAAGAACCCACATGACTTGGTTGGATAGATGCTAAAGCCTTTCTCAATAGGGCAGAATGGTGCATTTCAAGTGTTTGGTCTTAGATCTCTTTATATTTTAAAATTAATGTTTGCAAAGAGTTTTAGTTCATAGGGGTCATATGTTTATATTTAGCATATTAGAAATGAAAATAGAAAAGACCTAAATATTAATTTACTGTAGTGTAAAGAATTATTTATGGGCACATGTGTTTGATACAATTGATATATGGATTGCTTTAAGACTTGTAAGATCCCCCAATAAAATTATTTATTAATATAGAATTATTTATAATATATAAACAATTAATTAAAAGGCTAATATTTAAACATTAAACAATAATGCTGTCGTTCAATATTGACACAAATAGTATGCTTTTTATGAGAGATAACTTTATATATTGACTTTCTGCAAAGTGGCAGAATAAGTAGACACAGGAAACAGACCCTCCACAAGAAAGACACAATAGACCAAAAGAAATAGCTATGGATGATAATCCTGGGTGAGAATTCTATGCTTCAAAGACAAGGATAGATAAGTGTACTGAATATCAGCTGGGAAAAGAACTTGTTCAAAACTCTAAAAGGTCTTTGGATGCTTTAATAAGAATAAAATGAAAGTATATGAATGAAGAGTGTTTTAGGTCTACTTTTAATCAGAGTAGTTTTAAGGAGAGAGGCTAAATTCAGGGAAATAATGCTCAGGTTCAAATTTCCTTACTACTATGACTTCAATGTCCTGCTATTTGCCAATGACCAGCAAATCTACCGAGGGGCCCATCCTAGATAGCCTGCTCTGGCTTTCATCATGGAAATTGAAAGTTGGCTAGTATTCAGATAGTTCAACTCTACATGGTCACAACTGCATTCTTCTTGTCCCTCGTATCCAAACTGCTTCTTTCTTTGTATTTTTACTTTCAGTTGTTGGTCCCATCATGCACTGAATCACCAGACCAGATGCTGTATGAGAGCAATCCAGCAATCCTGTGAGCGTCTGAACCCTCTTCTCTATTTTACGGAGTGAATCAGTCAGTTCTGCTGAATATATCGCCTCATCTTTATACTGATCATTTTCTTTCTGACCCTATATTTCACATTCCTCTAGTTTGTACCTTTAAACTCATCATTTTAGCTTTATATTTTGTAATAGGCTTACATTTGGTTTGTCGCTCTCTCATTCTGCCTCATTCAAATCTGTCTTCTTCAAGATTGCTATAGGATTTATTTTGTTCATTTAAAACTTGTTAAAAATTCTTCAATGACTCTCATATTTTCCTCACCCATCTCAAGGCTTTTAGCAAGGCATACAAGGTGTTGCACAACATGGCCACAAGCTTTCTTTTCATGCTCATCACCTTCCGTTCTGAATCCTTGTTGCTATAAACACAAGCTGCCATTTTTCTCTCTACAGCTATTTCCAGACCCTAATCTCAACATCCCTCACCAATAACCTCATCCTAAACTTAAAGTTCCAAAAGATCCTTTAGGAAGCACTTCTAACTCCCTCAGAAATAATTATGTTTAGCTTATCCTTTTATCACATTATGTGTATGTGTATGATGTGTGTATAATTGCCCCATAATTGTTCTTCTATGTGCCCATTGTCCTCTAGAGTTGATCTGGACACTCTGTCCTACAAGGAGAGGAACATTACCTAGAATATACTCAGTCAATGTTGGAAGACGTTCATCCATATATGACAGTGGTTCTCAACTTTCCTAAGGCCGCAACCCTTTAATACAGTTCCTCATGTTGTGGTGACCCCCAACCACAAAATTATTTTTGTTACTACTTCATGACTATAATTTTGCTACTGTTATGAATCGGGTGACCCCTGTGAAAGAGTTGTTCTATCTCCAAAGGGGTCGTGACACACAGGTTGAGAACCGCTGATATATGAAATATATAAACCAGTATCCATTCACACCACTACTATCTTATCTAATATGATTTCTAGATGTTGAGGATAAATAAAAATTAATTCACTTCAATTATCTACTACTTTAGGGTGTTTGTTAATTGCCTGTTATAAGAAACAGTACAATGTATTCTGTGTCCTGATATAACTCTTAGGACACAGAAAACTGCCACTGTCACATATGCAGGCATTGGAAAATATTTGGCATAGAAGTGGTAACAAATAAAAAGTGATTTAACAAATTGTGCACTGAAGATATTCACAAAGATGTAAGACAAAGAAGAGATTGACCATAAGCTTACAGAGAGTCAGTGTAGCCTGATTGTAAAACTTCAAGCCAGTGGACTTGGTAAAGTTTATGTTAGAAGCACAGCAGCAGCATAGAGTCCTGGAATTTCCCTCACTAAGTCTAACCTGAGAGAGCTGATCGAATGAAAGAGGAAGCTGATCAAAATGAAATGCTTTTGGCATTGGATGTTATCCACTGAGAGTGGACACTGAACTGCTTATCATTCCACTAAAAAATAGTCTACTGTCATGGGTGTTGTTTTACCTGATCCAGGTCATTGGTTGGTTCAGGAGAGACAATGTGTCACTGAATCTTCTCATATCCTTTCAATACGAATTCAAATTTCTGTTACCTTAATCCAAAGGAAGGAGTCCCATTCATTCATTGGCTAGAACCTGTTCCATTGATTTCATCATGCAGTCAAGATCTATTCCTAAGATCACAGATTATTCCTGAACTCAATTCAAAGAACAATTGTGTGTTTCTGCTAGAATTTATCTTAAAGAACAATTAAGGACTTTGTGCAAGCTGTCATCCTATCAACGTTTTTATGTATATATAAGTCATTTGGGGGACTCTTACAGCTCTTATAACAATCCATTTAAAAATCATTTAAATAAGTATATTAAGTAAATATCCAATAATTATTTAGGCAAAACATTTGCTATGATAGACAAACATTTAAGAGAAAATACCAATTATCCTATAGAAACTATTGTAAGAATAGAAATGACATTTGAATAATGGTCGAATTTAATGAGCGGAAAACTCGGCTCCGGTTCTGCCTTTGGCAGATGCATGACCTCAAGGACATGCTGTGACCTCGCTGGCCCTCATGTGCCCCCTTTGTCCATTGAAGGTATGGATTTCCAAAAATGTCTCTTCTTTGTCATCTCTCATACATAGGAAATTGTGGATAACTAGAACCTTACCAACCATGCAGCCTACCAAAAAGTACCTACAATGACTGTATGAGATATTTTAGGTACTTGTTGGGTTTGCAGGTAAACATTATCAAGAATTACTTCAATAGGTCATGTCCTACTTCTGGTCATGTAATTATCAATCCAGTCAGAGCCGTCGAGGAGGGACTTGCACACACACTGTTGATTAGATCACAGTTCCACAGGCTTCATTAGCCTTCATCTCTAGGCGACACATTCTCAGCAAGTCTCTAGAGTGTAGGTCAGAGTTTTAAAAGCTCCACTAATATTGTACTAGCCAATAATGTATATTATAATTTTATTGTAAATGTATTATAATACTAGTATAATACAAAATAGTAATTATCCAGTACAGAACCTGTCACAATTAATACTCCTACAAAATAAGCTGTGTTTTGAGGTTACAGTTCTCTGTGCTGAAGAATTTAGTGGAATAGGAGAGATGGGGACAAGAGTAGGAGGTGAGGGTTGCGCACGCAAGAATGAGTAGCCCAAGAATGTTCAATCAGCATCATCCCACATGCTACCCAAATAGATCCTCAAGAATGAACATCAGAAACCTGGCATCATGACTAGTAAAGACAGTACAGAGTTTCATGAAATCTTGTTGCACCCTGTCATACAGACCTCAGATACCCAACATCTTCCTTCAGCATTTTCCTGGAAACAGACCTTCATGTAAATGAGCCTCCTGGACACAGCTCCTTGGGTGGTGTTCACCTTGCAGTCGTCCGCACACAGCCACTTCATTTGTTTTCATGTGTTCTTACTTTTTTCAATTTCATGGTCCCACACCTAGTCATGGGTCTAGAACTTGCATTGATCCATTGCAATTTCAGTTCTCCCCTAGAGTCTGGGAATTGCGGGGCACAGTCAGCCCATATTAGGACTCCTCAGAAATGATACCATCCCTATGTCACACTTTTACCATGCTGATGGGAGGTGGTAACATGGTTAATGAGAGTCTCCCCCAATCCTCATTGTGAGGACAGTGTCACTTGGAAATTTCCTCCAGCCAAGTCACCAGCTCCTCTCTCCTGGCTCTATGGAAATTGTAGGTAAAGGGCAATGTTCCTATCTAAATGGGAAGCATTCAAGTAAAGTGAACAGTGGCAAGGAGACTGCAAAGGATTAGGCAGTACATTCAGGGTGCCAGTGTTTAAATGGAGAGGGGGGTCCTTGATCAGAAGGGGAACTGTGTTAGTCTGGGTACTTTAGAGAGAAACAAGTCCATAGAAACTCATGTATAAGAGAGTTTTATATACTTACCTGGCAGGGGAGATACCATGAACACAAAGGTACTTTTCCCAGGGCGAGGCTCATCCATTTCACTCCAGGTGTACTGGTCCCTGCGATTTCCCCAAATGTGGGAAACTCGGCTGCATAATTTGTGGCAGTGGGGGACTGCGTCCGGCCTTTCCCCTGCATGAGAAGAAAAAAAAAGTTTTATATAAAGATCAAGTGCTATGAGCCTACATTTATAGGTTTAGTATTAAGGTAGCAGAAGGACATTGGACCTCCACTCAAGTACTCCCTCAACACAAGAATACTTTCTTCTAGTAAATTGGCATTCTATGATGCTCACCTTCCCGACACAACCGCTGAAGACAA